ATAATTTTACTTGAGGGAATCGCGGGCGTGCGCCCGCGAATCCCTCCCCTCCCACCCCAAAAAAATTTTTTTTTGTGAATTTTTTTAATTAAAAAATAGAAATATTTGATAACATTTTCAAACGTCAAAAATTAGTATAAACAGACATTATACCACTTTACAAAAAGCAATAGTTTATCCAGTTTCATATAGGAAAGAACGTGAGCCCCTCCAATATAAAAAATTAAAAAAACAATTATTTTTATAAATTTAAATTGAAAAATATTGTGAAAAGATAGTTACAATTAAAAAAATAAGAATAAACAATATTTCAACACTTTAATTTTTAATAAAAGATGTGTAAGAGTATTTAAATTCTTAGGCAAAAGGCTCTTTGATTCTTTAACATCTGACTTAAAAAAAAACATGTAAAATATTTTTTAAAATATACAATACTTAAAATTATGTGAATTAGTGAAAACAAAATACCCATTGTAATTAATTAGTGTCTTGGCTTTTAGTAAATGATTAAACTTTTAAATTCCATTAATGAAACAAAATATTAATCATTTTTAACGATAGACACCACGAGAAGGTAAGCCAGAGCCGTCTATCAATAATCTGTGCAAGTCACAACACTTGCTGGTTACTTTTTTGCAAGTCACAGCACTTGCGGTACCAATTTTGCAAGTCACAACACTTGCTGGTTACCTTTTTGCAAGTCACAGCACTTGCGGTACCAATTTTGCAAGTCACAACACTTGCTGGTTACCTTTTTGCAAGTCACAGCACTTGCGGTACCAATTTTGCAAGTCACAACACTTGCTGGTTACCTTTTTGCAAGTCACATTACTTGCAGCACCGATTTTGCAAGTCACAACACTTGCTGGTTACCTTTTTGCAAGTCACATTACTTGCGGCACCGATTTTGCAAGTCACAACACTTGCTGGTTACCTTTTTGCAAGTCACAGCACTTGCGGTACCAATTTTGCAAGTCACAACACTTGCTGGTTACCTTTTTGCAAGTCACAGCACTTGCGGTACCAATTTTGCAAGTCACAACACTTGCTGGTTACCTTTTTGCAAGTCACAGCACTTGCGGTACCAATTTTGCAAGTCACAACACTTGCTGGTTACCTTTTTGCAAGTCACATTACTTGCAGCACCGATTTTGCAAGTCACAACACTTGCTGGTTACCTTTTTGCAAGTCACATTACTTGCGGCACCGATTTTGCAAGTCACAACACTTGCTGGTTACCTTTTTGCTAGTCACAGCACTTGCGGTACCAATTTTGCAAGTCACAACACTTGCTGGTTACCTTTTTGCAAGTCACATTACTTGCGGCACCGTTTTTGCAAGTCACAACACTTGCTGGTTACCTTTTTGCAAGTCACAGCACTTGCGGTACCAATTTTGCAAGTCACAACACTTGCTGGTTACCTTTTTGCAAGTCACAGCACTTGCGGTACCAATTTTGCAAGTCACAACACTTGCTGGTTACCTTTTTGCAAGTCACATTACTTGCGGCACCGTTTTTGCAAGTCACAACACTTGCTGGTTACCTTTTTGCAAGTCACAGCACTTGTGGTACTTTTCAAATGTTAAGACTTTTTAATTTATAACATTTGCAGTATCTATTTTGGACATAATAAACTATACAATTATGAAAACAATACATATTAACATTAAAAACAATTAATACACATTAACATTAAGAAAAAATTAATTCTCCTGAAACAACATCTGCGACCAGCTGGAATTTTTTCATTCAATAATCAACAGCTTCAGAATCAGTTTCATCTTTTTTCCAGTAAGAGATTGTGTAAATTCTGTCTTGCAATCTTTTTTTTACTTTTTCTACTCTACCATCCTATATGACATTCTTAGATTGTTCAGTGTCATACCATTCATGACATAGTTTTCTACCAACAATTCTGTCAGACATAACATCATCTAAATCATCCAGTTGCTTTGTAGACAATTGTTTATAGAAATTCTTAATCTGGCTGAAAGTCATTAATTTAAGTTTTCGTTCTAATTTCCTTTTTTTCTTTTTCATCCAACATTTGACGCTTGCATGTCTGTTTCTTATATATTACAGATCGAATTTGAGCATGTTGTAGGCGATTTCTCTTTCTTTCTTTACGTGCTGTAAAAATGGACCACTTAACTACATTTCCTCTACTTAGTTGATCTAAACTATCAAGATAATCAATAGTCCTATTCTTTTTTGATCTTATTTTGCAAGAAATATAACAAGTTGTTGCATTAGGGGATCTTCCTTTACATTCACTAAACATACCCGTTAACTCTTCACTATCTATATTATGAAGCCTTGCACTAGCTGTTTCCTGCTTAAGTGTCTCCGTAATGGAAAGGGAGAAGTACTTTTTATATTGTCTAATCAATACATCCTCCACTGCATTAAGGCAAGCTGAAGTCATGTTGATAACCTGATCATCAATGCAGCATAAATTTGTTATTGGTTCAAAAACATTTGAGGGAAGCATTTCCCCGAAAAAATCAGTTGTTCTGCAAAACACTGCAGCCGGATTAGATTTGCAAAGCTTAACTGTTTCCAAAATGTTTTTTACAATCTGAATACCAGTGAGATGATCAAAACTTGCATCCTCAGCTGATACATAAAACTTAGTCATCCACGGACCACTTAGCAGTTTCCCAAATACACCAAGCACACACATCTGTTTTATAGCGGTAGCATTACAAAATGCTGCTCGCAGAGCTGCTTGCAAACTGCCATATTTTACTGTTCCTGTGATGAGAAAATTTAGAAAATCATCATAGTGTTTAATAAATATAAAGCAAGTATGAAAAAGAATATGGAGACGGTTTCCCCGATATCTAGGAATGATACACCTAGGTAGTTTTTTGTGGTCTAAAAAAGTAACAAATCCCTCTGGATCACCTTTACCGTCTTTAAACCTCATCTTATTCATAGCCAAAACAATTTTGACGGCTAAACAATCATTGCCAAATAATTCACACTTTTCTGTCTCTAGACACTTCAATGCTGAGCGACATTCAGTAGCAATTGTATCAAGAGGGTGCAAATGACAATTCAATTCATTCAGAGTTTTACCCCAAGTTGCACTAACTTTGCTTATGGTCAGATGGATAACTGCAACTCTGTCTGACATTGTGTTGGAAATATTTTTAATAATCAATTGACGACACTCATCATAATTACGTAAATAAAAATCTGAATAAACAAAAGCTAGATGATCTACTGCCCTACAAATATGATTTTCGTAATCATCAGCTGTTCCTCCGGGGCATTGATCCAGAGCAATAACAAGGCATTTATCTTTGGACGTAAAGTGAACACTATTTATATGAACACCTTCTTGTGTTGTTGCATCAAATCCAAGAGTAAGCTGAGAATTACTGATAGCCCATTCTGCTGCTTGTAATTCTGATATACTACCTAATTCACGAGCCATTTGCTCAACAGTGCTGCGATGGGGTATGTTATTAATTACCACACCAAAATACTGGCTAATTTTCTCTAACAAAAATGGAATGTTACCTGTAGGCACATTTGACAACAACATGCTATAAATTATTAGCCTAATGTTTAAAGGATAACACTTTTCAGTTTCAGACATAACAGGAATTTTGCTCTCTTCCATTTCTAATAATTCATTTTCAAAACTTGCAATAACCATTGTATTTTGCCTAATATCATTATTATGTTGGATATTCGTTTCACGCAATTTTTTTTTTTTTTTTAGTTTTTCTTGTCTTTATTGCATCTTGCAAATGGTGAATAACCCTATTGTAATGATATGTTTTTAATTTTTTTTTTAGGTCTCTAACTTTGAGTCGTAAGGCTTTTATAATATCTTCTTTTCTTTTGACACTTTGTCTTAATACTTTTAACCTGTATGGCATGCTGCCTAATTTAGCCTTTAATAATGCTATTTTTTTTTGATTTCCTCTAGAAGTGCTAGCTAACATTGAAGATATATATGATAACCTAGTACGTAGTTTTTTTTTTCTCGGACTCAAATTTTCTCTAGACATATCTAAACGTGGCTTATTTTTTACATAATTTAAAAAAGAAGAAGGTTTGCCTTTTTTTAAAGATAAATTAATGTTTTGTTCGACAGGATAATCCACTGATGATAATGAAACAGGGTTTATTGAACTAATAGTGTTAGTATGTAATGGCTGTGCTATTTGTACAATGGGAGTTGCGCATACAAAGGGCTCGTTACAAAAAATTGAGATATTATTGTAATCTCTTTTAAAGTTAAAAGTCCATTTCTTGCATGCATTCACAACACTCCTCAGTTGAACTTTACAAGTCTTTAAGTTAAATAACTGATTAATTTCATGAACAGTTTTAAAATACGACTCACCATTTGTAATGAAAGAGTAAAGTACATGTCCCTTCTTACAGATATTATTATTTTTGCCAGACAATGAGAAATTTTCAAAGACATAACTTCTCACAGGTCCACGAAACAAACAAATATTCTTTTTAAGGCCCATGACACCTACAAAAAATTATAAAACATGTACACTTGGCTGGCAAAACAAATCTATTTAAAAATAAAAAATAAAGTTTGGTAACTGCATTAAAATCATAGAAATGTTTTTTTTTAACTCCTTGCTTAAAACAGAAAAAAAAAACTAAAAAAATTATACAAAAATACTTAAATATACAATTAAAGACATAAATACCTTTTTAAAGACATAAATACCTTACTAGTTATCGTGATATCCAAATATAGCGGTTAAAAACAAATTTTTAGGAACTATAAGTGAATATAAAAAATATTATAAATTGGACCTATTTTTAAATATATGATATTGTTAAAAAAAAATTAATTAAATACAAAGTATCACACACAAAAAAAAATTAATAATAAAATAAGAAGAAAAATAAAGAAAAGTTAAAAAAAAAGAAGTTATAAACTTAAATAACTTTTTATAATAAAACAAAAATAAAAAAAATGTTAAAAAAATGTTAACGTTTTACTGTTAAACTAATGCAGACATATATATTAGAAAAATTAATAGCAATTATATTGGGTGCAAACACAAATTTTAGTTTTGATGGAGCCTTTTTACTATGTTCAAAAATGTAAAAAAACAACTTTATAGTTATATATAAGCAAACCAAAAAAGAAGAAAACCTTTTTGTAAATTTAAATATTTTTAACATAAGAAATAAGAATTCTTTTTTTGGTTATGGTGGAGGACTTGAAAACCTTTAAGAATTGTAGACATAAAAGTTTCCAAATCCCCCACTGCTACCGCCTCTTCTCTGACCACGCCCTCTGCGGTAATTCCTTCTTCTTGTCCCAGCACCAGGGTTTGGGGGCACATGTGTCCATGTAAAACTAGGGGAATCACTACCCCCATTCCTTACCCATCGCAGATAGGATTTATTGGAGTAAGGACCATGGTGCTGGGACCTATATTCTTGATATGCAGCATATGTTAGATCTAAAAGTAAAGCAGAAATACATATGGAAAAAGAAGGTTAATATACAACAAACAATGAATTACTATTAAATATCATTTTTATACGATTATTAAACAAAGTAATAAATAACAATAAAAAGTTCAATGATTATCATTTTAAAAAGTTGAAACTAATTATTTATTAAGAAAATCTCCTGAACCATTAAAGAATTCGGAATATGATTAAGAAACAACTTGAAAATAAATAAACACCTCGAAATTAGTCTATGATAATTTTATAAAATTAGAACACTACAGACTTACCAGACACAACAGGTGTTGTTTGCACTAAAGATTACAAATAAAAGTGTTACCAATGAATAAATAATAATGAATTTTTGAAAGTTATAATTTACAAAATTACCAGCAATTGCAGACGTAGAGGGCTCTAAATGTTACAAAAAGAAAATGTTGCACCAAATAAAATCCTTAAAATTGGTACATAAATTATATAGTAAAAAGTTATAGTATATGCGAAAATACCAGCAGAAGTCGATAAAGATGACCCTAAAAATTACAAAATAAAAAGTGTTACAAATAATTAAAAGTAATTGAAATTGGTACATAATTGATTCTCATTTAAAAAATGCTATAAATAACAAAATTACCAGCAGAAGCCAATGAAGATGGCCCTAAAAGTTACAAAATAAAAAGCAAAAAAGAATTTAAATTCATAGAAATTCTTATATAATTTAAAAACATGTTAAAAAATTACCAGCAGAAGTAGATGTCACTATAAGAAAAAACATTTGAAAAAGTTATAATCTCAAAAACGCACCTGTAGTTGTCGATGAAGATGATACTAAAATAGACATAATAAAAAGTGTTACAAGCAAATAAGAATTGTATTAAAATTGATTCATAATTTACAATTTATTATTTATATATCATTTACAAACTACCAGCGGTATCAGCATGACATGCCACTAAAGATAATTAAAAAAGTGTTACAAACACATAAAAAGAAATGTACTCCATGTTTTTTTTAAACTTATAGTTCAAATATTACCATCAGTAGCAGTTGAAGGTGGCACTAAATGTTATAAAAAATAAATTTCAATAACAAATAAATACATTTTAGTATTAGTAAACATTTTCAAATAATTATCAAAAGTTACATAATTTTTTATTGCCACCTTACAAATGTTGCAGTTAAAATAGAAAAATCTAAAAAATTAACAAATTCTTAATTAGATAAATAATCTTCATATATAATAGATAATTAAAATTTTTTAAATAGATAAATAAAAAAATAAATAGACAAAAAAGTAACATTCATTTAACTTACTAATGTGACTCACTAAATCACCTAAAAAAATGTAAACAGGTATCAACTAGCCAAATAATTAAGCATTTATACATATAAAATTAGTTAAACCAAGAAATAGGAAAACTTATCTAATTTGATTCAAATGAAAAAATAGGAAAACTTATCTAATTTGATTCAAATTTAAAAAATAAATGTAAACAAAAAAAAATTAACTTTTTTTACCTATAGTTTTTTCAAGCTGGGCTAAAAAAAATAATATTAATAAAATAAAAACAAAAATAATGACTAAAATATAAATCTGTATTTAAAAATTAATACGCCAAAAGCAGTTTAATTAAGCAGTTTGAGTAACAGTGAAACAATACACAATCTAAAAATATGCAAGAAATGAAATAAAAATACTTAGTCGTTGTTCCATTCGCTCTTCTGAACAATGAATGAAAAAAATGATAATTATAATGTTATTAAATTGATAAACACACTTTCACACAAATGATATTTTGTTTTTAAAATAAAAAAGAATTAATTATATATACTTATAAAGACAAATAAAGGATATTTTAACAAAATATCTTTAATAATTTTTTTTGTTTATTTTTTATTCAGTTCCCTTAAAGTTTTTAAAATTATAATATATGTTTTAATATTATGGAAATAAGATATGCAAATAATTATTGTCACATACCAGCTTGCATATTATTAATCATTAATAATATGCCTGCTGGTATATGACAATATTTATTTGCATCTCATAATATTAATGTCATTAATAATTAATGTCATTAATAATATGCATGCTGGATACTAATACTATATTAATATCATGCATGAACTAATATGGCACGTATTATAAAAGCATGCATGATATAAATACTATTACTATTATGCATGCATTAATATACAACTTTAACAACAGCTTAGAATCAAAATTACAATAATAATAATAATAATAATAATAATAATATATTTTCAATAGTAAAGAAATATGTCCTTGTCAATACTATTTAACAGTTGACAGTGACACTATCTACACTGTCATTGTAGACTTTAGTATAATGAATAGTATTAACTTAATAATTGATATTAATAGCATTAACTTAATCATTAAGTTAATATTATAAACTTAATGCTATTAACAGAATAGAAATGACAATAGTTTTTGCATGACAATGCAAATACTATTGATAATTGTATTTTCAATGCTATTTAATAAATTGACATGTTTTGACAAAAACTGTCAAAAAAACATTTAAAACTGGTTTGAATGTTTTGAAAGCAATTATATATTCATTTGCTTTTGGGTTTAAAATTCCAGAAACTTTAAGAATAATTGCCATTGTTAATGGCATTAATTAAGTAAATTTATTTTCTGAACCTTTTTCCATATCCATGTTCATTGATCATCAACAAATATTATCTGCTTTTTATCTAAAAGTATATTTAAACAATAATATTGTGAAACAAAATTATTGTGTATATATATTAAATACATAAATTATGATTGAATAATAAAAATAAAATAATAAAATTTATAAAATAATGACAACAAATTTGTAATAATGACAGTATTATTATTACTGTTTATAACAGTAATAATTATTGTTATATACATTCCAATACTTTTCTAAAAAAAAACACCACAACAAAACGTTTGTCTGACGCTACCTAAAAAAAAGTTCAAAAAACGTGGCACAGAATTTTAGCAGAAAATTCGGTTCCGTAAGACGGCTATTTCCGCATACCTACGTATTCTATTCCTTTTGTTATAATTTAAACTGTAATATTTTTTTTAAGTTTGAGAAGCAGTTTGTTTTCAAAGTTAGCCGATTTTGTTCTTGTCCGCTTTGCAATGAATAGACGCTCACAGGCAGCAGACGCAGGAAGCCCAGTGTTCAGTTTAAGAGAAAAGTTTGTGATGCGTGGAAATGAGTTCAACAATTTCATTTTGTTTAAACTGCTAGCAAAGTTTTCTAGCAGTTTAACAAACCCATCAACCTCCCTGTGCCTTGCGATCTTCTCAATTTCATTGATGAGGAGAAATCTTCTTCATCTGATGAATGTTACAAAACTGCTCCACCTCGGCCATCTGTTCAATGTGTTGTATCACATTGACCACACCTGTTTAAAAACAAAACAGCACATATTATATTATTGACAATACAAAGCTTCATTTTATTGCACTTAAACAACAATGGATTTAATTTTCTATTGTAGTATAAAAGTATAGAAGTATAAAAGTAGGCAAAACAGATTACACTTTGAGTTACTAAAAAGGAAACCATACCTACTTTGTCAGAAAAATTGAACTTTGTCAGAAGAATTGTCAGCAATAAATCTGTACCTTGCATCATTCTACCAAAATGTTTTTGATTACCATCCTGAATTGGTTTAGTAAAGAGCAGACTCATTTTGAAGGATTTTTCAAGGCAGCTGAATTTTATTTGTAACTAAAAGTTACAAAAATATCACAATTTTCCTTTAACTTCTTCTCACACATTCCTGATAGCTTTGCTGGTGTGCAGATCAGCAATCAGTAGTTGTTGCAAAATACCTGACTTTACTGAGGATTAAGAGCAAAGTCTTCATTGACTGGATAGCAGCCTCATTATTTCTGATCCGTTAAAAAAGGCTAAATATAACTTTGCAATCTGAATTAAATGCATGTAAAAAATTTTTAAAAGCAGGTTGTTCAACCAAAGAAAATGGATGAATACCATTTCTAAAAAATTAGTTCCTGAGCTTGTCAACCTTTTCTTGTAACAAATATTTGTTTGCACCCACAGAAAACATGTCACTTATTTTCCTTGCTTTGCTGTGATTTCTGGTGGTTTCAGGTTTTGCTTTGCTATCGTAAAGTCACTGAAAGCCTTTATCTTTGATGGATGTTTTTACTTTAGACAAAATATATGTCATCTATACCATATTTGAACCAATGTCATATTTATTTAATATGCTAAATTTATAATATATGCGTGAAATCTTTTATTACCAAGTATTCGGTGTTGTAATGTTTAAATATAATAAAAGTGTGTTAAAAAATGTGTGAATATTAGAAAAGTAAACTAATAATATTAAGTAAATTAATATCAGATTACCTCAACATACAGACTATATGATGCTTGTGGTAGAGTTTTTGTATGCTTTTATTTCAGTCAACTTGGGCAAACACAGTTTACACTTGGTGTTAAATACTACGTGGTTGCAATGCTGAAATTCAAGTGGATGAAACTGGAAAGGTAGTCTGTAGTTTAAAGAATTGCAGATTACTGCTGTTGACTTTGCTTTCTATTGAAAACCTGTCTCTACGGGTCTTGAAGTTTGAATTTTGGTAAGTATGGTTTTGTGAGAGGAAAAGTGGAACTCTGTGCCATTTTTTTGTCTCTCGTATCTTCTATAGCAAATCCGGTCATGCAGCCTCTACGCGGCGCAACTAGAAATTTGGATCAGTGATCAAGGTTAATGCAGGCCGGGTCTCGTCAAATTAGAAGTACAATATAAATCTGATTTTATCACTAGGGGCTATGGGGCTGTTGATCTTATGGTCTCGATAAACCGATTGATTATTACTAGTAGCAGTTAAGAAAGTGTCATTGCCTCTATTGGAAAGGGGGGTATAACAGTCAATAACATATCAGTAGGAGCTAGTGGAAAAGAGACGTGCGTAATCACGCACACAGTTTCCGATGATATTTGGTGCTGTCCTGAAGGTGTAGAAATACATAACAGCGGCAACGATCATTTGGCAACAACCAAACAACATTTGGCAAAACGTCATCCGAGTGTAACGATAAGCGGTTACAAATTCAATCTGTGCTTATTTGTTAGTGAACCCCAACTAAGTGTGGGGACATACTTAGTTGGCGAGTTTGCATGCGCAAGCTGTTCTTTTTTTTTCGGATACGTTCTCAGGACTCTAGGTGCATATGCAAAGAAAGCATATAGGGGAATGGAACGACCAGCTGAAGGAGAAAACGGAGTTTGCTAACACAGACCAAGAATTAAGATTTGAAGTTGGATTTGTTTGATCCAAAGTTCCAGTAACAAACATTTGTATGTATTTAAATAATAAAAACATCTTATTCACAAAATGAGTCAAAAGTCACAATGTTACTTGTATGTATGTAAAGTTTGTTGTGTGACTGGAATAAAGCCTAAAGATCAACAAAAAAGCACTTTACAGTCCACAGGTCAGAAATTTAAAGTTTAAGTTTACTATCCGAGTACCCCAAAAATGTTAACAAATATAGTAAGTGGGGCATCTGGACACTTCATTTTCATATTTAGAAAAATGTAGGAGGTATCACATTTTTAGAAAATTGACATTGAAAATCTGATAAAAAGTCATAATTTTTAAAAAAAGTCATTATTCTTAAATAAACTAAAAATACTGGCTGAAAGTTGAAGTTTATTTTAAAAAATGTTCATATACCAAATTTTCAAGGTCTTTAATTTAATATTATAATACACAAACTTGGTCAAAAAAACATTTTTTATTAAAAATACATATTTTTTCACTATGCGTTTTTATTTTAATTTTATTATAGATACCTAATATATTGAATCTATAGCTCCTCTGCTCTCTAAGGAGAAGAGAGAAAACCATTTTAATAGAAATCATGTACTTTTTCAAAAGATCATTTGCTGTTGCTACCTTGAAAAGAACAACAAATGCAGTTCAGTTAATAACAATTTGGAAGGTCTGGTTCAAGTTTTTTGTAAGCCTGAGTTTTCACTTAAAGTATTTGCCTACCCTACAGGATTATGCCCAGGTTGCAAGAAAAACTTATATCTCTGTAAGGCTGGTAAATCTATTGCAGACACAGTTACTTTAAAATGGAAAAATAATGGTTTGTCTAGCTTGCAAACCTCTAGAGATTGCTTAATATTATGCAGTATATGCAGTCAAGGAAGAAATAGATTATTAAATAAAAGTATAAAAAAGGGAACTATCTCAATACTGAAACTTTGCCAAATATGTTTCTGTAAAATTGCTAAAGGTAAACCCCACAAATGATTCAGGTATATAAATTCAATTTATTTAATTTATATTACTTATAATATTTTATTAATCGTCTTTTTAAAAACTTATTTTAAAAATATTATTTGTACATATTTATATACAAATATGTGTGTGTGTGTGTAAGTATATATATATTTATAGGTGGAGGATCGCTGAAAGTTATAGTAAATCTGTTTGATCCAACCAAGGACAGGACAGGAGATAGCAGTTCCTTGGGATCATACTCAGGAGCTAATACGTCACTTGTTTTAGCTTATTGTGAAAGGGTAAGTGAGAATCATTCTAACATGTCAATGATTGTGAAAAGATTGAAGTTGCATGGATGCAAGTATTCATTGGCTTCTGACATGAAGTTAATCAACATATCGCTAGAAATTTAGGTGTGTTTGTTTTAAATAATTTTATGAAAATAAGACATATTATGGTAAAAACTATACTAGGAAAAGGTTTTTTCTACGCTACAATACATTTATAAACTGAATTATAATATAAAATTTTAGGCTCATGGAGGAAAGTATGCTTGTGCATGGTGTGAAGGTTCTTCAGAATTATTTATTGGAGAGTTAAGAACATTTCAACGTTTGAATAATTACTATGAACCGTATTCATCTGCAGGATCTCTGGTGAAAAGATTGCAAGAATATTAGGTATAAATGAATAAATATGTTGTAAATATTTTCAAAATTTATCATCCATT